GGAGACTACTTCTGAGATCAGCACAGACTGTGTGGGGTGGTTGGGGGGGGGGGGGTGGTGCGCGTGATGTGTGGGATTCTGAAAAGAAAGAAACCAGCAAAAATGTGGTGTTTATACTGATTTTTGAGTTGCTGAGTTCTATCCTGTTTCCTTGTGTAACAATTGAACAAATTCCTCTTTCAGTGGCATTTTTATTCTCTTGCCTACAATCCATGTTTCCTAATGTCCAGTGGGAGTTTGTGGTGATTGAATACCCCAGATGTTTGGAGTGCTGAGTCTAGCAGTGTTGGGTTGACGTCAGTGATTAGTGAGGCTCCTATGGTGACATTGAAACAATGACTTGAACTGTGTGTGGGCAGTCTCGTGTACAGTGTTCATGTTTCTCTGTTGATGGTATTGTGAAATTCACCAGCTGTGTTAGTGGGACAACTACAATAGCAGGGACCCCGATAGTTTTGACAAGTCCCTGCTACTCAAAGGTAACTTTGCTGCAGCTTGTTTGATATTCTTGACCCCTTTTTCTGATTTCAGGGAGTGGTTCCATTCCTTGTGAGTGCTACAGCTGGAACAACTGTCTTTGGAGCGTTTGATCCTCTGCCAGAAATTGCAGATATCTGTGAAAAGTATGGAATCTGGCTTCATGTTGATGTAAGTAGGATGACTGAACCAGTGATTACTGCTGGACTCTGAAACGCATTCATTTATTCAATATTTCTGGTATTTAAGTGAATTGGGAACAGTAGTGTTCCCTGTATGATCAACCTGATATTGACCAGTTGTATTTTGTCAGGGGTCTTAAACCAAATCTCCTGGGTGAATGAAGAGAGGAGTTGGTGGGTTATGTTCCACAGATCGTGGCAGCAAATTCCATTTGGATTTTTCAAATGGAAGTGGTGGGAAAATAAAGCCTCTGTTAAAATAAGAGAGATGAGCGGATTCCGGGATAATGTATCATTTATTTGTCGTTGAAGGAACATTGGGCACAAGTAGTGTCCATGCATTCCAGCCATCTAGTGTTGCAATAGGGCACAGTAGTTTTGGGATGTGGCAGGCATTACAGGTTAACTAGTTGATTTTGCCCAATGCAAGAATGATAGCAATAAGTGCAAATCCACCTCCCCCCTGCCCCCAATATTTCTTTGCCTGTGCTTTTTAGATTCATTGCAACTGCCTCAGTGAAGTCCTTTTGTCAATGGAAGTCTTAAAATAGAGGACATCACATTCTAAGGCTCTACATATTTCACACTTGTTGCTAATCTCTCTTGACTTTATATGCACTCAGTACTTCAACTGCATCTTTTGTGCGGAATACTGAAGTGAGCAAATTATCTCTGCAACTTGAAGATGGTTTACTTTTATTTCTCTCCAATTGTTATCCTCTGCCATTAATACTTACCTAACACTGAGAAACTTTTTTTTTTTGCAAATTTTCTGAAGCAATGTCTGGTTTAGTTTGGGATGGGGGTGTTGGGGAATGCAATATGGATACACTGAAGATCCACTGATCTATCTGTGTCTCTCTCTCTCTCTCTCTCTCCCTCTCTTCTCCCTCCCTCTCTCCTTCCCCCCCCCCGCCAAAGATAAATGTTGCCTCATGCTCAAAATATTTCTGATCCAACCTCTTGAGATGCGTCACTTTGACACAAGAGATTTTTGAACCCAGACCTTCTGGTCCAGAGGTAAAATTACCACTTTGCCACAGGAGCCTTTCCTTATTACAATCCCTGTTAAATTTTATTTCAGCCTATTTCATAAGAGGTTTACTTGTAGCATTGAAACTGACCGTACTTTGTAAGCTGCAGTATGCCATTTCATATGGAATTACAACTCTATTGCTTTCATATTTCTTAATCTGGCATTGATCCGTACTACATGGTGAATAAAGGTAATACCTTGAACAATCTGTTCTGCAGCCTCAATGAGTTGAAGTGCAGGTACTCTCCTGTACTTGCACCTAACTCAACACCTGCAGTTTTAGTCTGTGTCTGCTCAATCAAAAGAGGTATAGGCAACAACATGAGCCAAAGGCTCTGTTTGGATTTGAATATTTAAAACTTTGTTTGGAGAATGTCAGTGTCACTGGCTGGGCCCATCCTTCATTGCTCTTCAGAAGGTAGTGCTGAGCTGTCTTTAGATATGACCACAACACTGTTAGGGAGGGAGTCTCAGGATTTTGCCCCAGTGACTGAGAAGGAGTAATGTTTGTCTTTTCTTTTTGTTGAAATTTGTTCATGGGATGTGGGTGTTGCTAGCTGGGCCAACATTTATTGCCCTGGTTGCCTTTGGCAAGGTGATGGAGTGATGCTGCCTTGAACTACAGTCCATGTGCTGTAGCTGGATCCACAATGCCCCTAGGGAAGGAATTCCAGGATTTTGACCCAGCAACAGTAAAGGAACACCAATATATTTCCAAGGCAGGATGATGAGTGGCTTCAAGGGGAACTTGCAGATTGCAGTGTTCACATGTATCTGCTGCCCTCCTCCTTCTACATGGTGGTCCATGGTGGGTTTGAAAGGTGCTGTTTAAGGATCTAGCTCCAAGCAAACTAGTCCTGTTGACCCTGCAAAGTGCTCCTTACTAACATCTAGGGATTAGTGCCTCATTGGGACAGCTGTCTCAGACTAGTCTAGCAACAGCCTGACACAGTTACATCATACTTTTACAGAAAATGAGTCACCACCGTCACCATAAAATGAAGAACTGTGGATGCTGGAAATCTGAAACAAAAACAGTAACTGCTGGGTTATGCTTTGGTTTTGGTTCCATGCCAGCCATCTCCATCCTCCGCGATATAACCCTTGCACACCTACCCCACTTTTGCCCCAAAGATGGAGCTGGAATGTGAAGCTGCCAAATGCCTGGGAGAAACGAAAGGCAAGCAACCTCTTACAGAATGGGGCCAATTTGTTGTGTAATAATCTGTGTGGTGTTTGAGTAAACCAATCCCAGGATCAACACTTCACTACTGGGGGAGCTTTGATTGAAAGCAGTTGGTGCTAGTCAGTGATTTACATCTTCTACATATATAGGAGTGTGCACAACATGTTAATTCTGACAAAGAGTGACTGAACTCAACATTAACTGTGTTCTTCTTCTCTACAGATGCTGCCAGACTTGCTGAGTTCTCCAGCATTTTCTTTTTGTTTCAGATTTCCAGCATCTGCAGTTCTTTGTTTTTTAATCTTAATTATGTCACTGGTCACCTTGGAAGTTGTGGTTTGATGCTGTCCTCTGTCCAGCTGCCCAGGGTGTGAGTGCCTTTTGAAGGCTCTTGCCTTTTGCTGTTTCTCACTCTCCTCTCTCAATCTAATAGGCAGCCTGGGGCGGAAGTGCCCTCATCTCCAGGAAACATCGGGATTTGCTGACTGGAATCAAGAGGTGCAAACTAATTCAGTGATCAGTAGGATGCTTTCTACACTGTTTTTCTGTTTTCTAAAGGGTACATTGTATTAAAAGACATGTATATGATGTGCTTGCATCTATGTCCAAGATTTTCATTTTGTTGTAGTCTTTCCACTTCAGAAGAACAATGTTTTTCCTCTGATGCCAGCAGTTTGTGGGCAAGGCTAACCGCTTAATGAGTGATCACGTTCTCGTACTGTTTGCTGCTTAAGCATTTTTAAGATAGCAATGACTTCTGCTGAACTAATAATTTGTGATGGTCACTGGTCACAGTGATAATTAGTGTTTATTGTCAGATAGGTTGGACACAAATGGCTAAAATACAGTTTAAAAACTTTAATGTTACTTTTTAACAGATGTCAAGTGTGCCATTTATGTTATGCTCCTATTTCTTGAGACTGTGTGATTAGAAGGATATTTGATGGCTTGGTGCGTAAAGTGACTGTGTGTTTGAATATTCAGTCACTTTATTGCAGAATTGCCTGGGTTTGGAAGGCAACTGTGATTAGGTCTGCTTTTTGGCATTATTCGGGGGGGGGGGGGGCTGAAATTTAGTGTTCAGGTGTTGGACAGAGCAAAGAAAACGAGCAATGTAAACTCCAAGAATGGTGTGGAAATAACAAAGGAGGAAACACTAAGAGAAAAATGTATACCACTAGGGAAACATGCTGATTGGGTAATAAGTTGACTTTGGCTGAGGCATTGCCATGAGGACAACAGTGCCTCCCCAAACAGTCTGGTAATTTACAGAAAGCACAGGACTCGAGCATATTCCTCTTGAATGAGCATAGATGGGCCACG